AGAGAGAGAGAGAGAGAGAGAGAGAGAGAGAGAGAGAGACCACCTTTCATGCCACGACGGAGCGCTGGCTGGTGCTGGCTGGGCTTTAACGAAGGGTTCTGACGGCGAAGATATCCTCGCCATCAAGAATCTCGCCCTCCTCTTTCTCCCATCGCAGCTACTGGTTGGCTGATCTTAAATAGGCCTGCTCCCTCCTGGTCTCCTGCATCTGAAAAAAAAAAGAAAAACAATGAAAATTTTTTTTATTAAAATAACCCAAGCCACAATTTTTTGAATGGAAAAACGCGAGCAAAAAAAATCTAATACGGAAGTGTCCTCGATAAACAACGGGAGACAAAAAAATTGTTTTCGACCGAAGAAACACAACCGAATTTTAACCGAAAACAGAAAAAATCTGACGAAAAACGAAAAAAAACGACGAAAAACCGAACAAAAGTACATGCGTTTTGCCGTCAGAGGAAGTGATAAACTGAACAGAAAAAGACGAAAATCGAAAAAAACCAAACGATTACCGAAGACTAAAAAAAAATCACGAAAAAAACACGACACGCAATACTAAAACGAAAAAAATTCACTAAAAAAACACGGACACGAAAAAAACACGAAACACTAAAACACTAAAACACGTAAAAATGAAAAAAAAACACTGACAATATAAATAAATAAAAACTTACCATACGGGTGATAACCACCCTGCAGGCATCCTCCCGGGCGATCACTGGCACCACCATTTTTTTTCAATAAAAAACCGAAAAACCCAAAAATACGAAAAACACCCAAAACGCGAAAAATATCCTGAGGACCGAAGGTGAGGTTGTATATGATGGTTAGAGAGACCTCGCAGCTTATATAACTGCAACAGTCCTCCCACCATCTACCCCCCTGAAACCCTCTGGACAGTAATGAGGAAAAAGACGTTCAAGGGAAGAAAACGTGTGAAAGACAAGGAAAGATTGAAAATTCCCCTCAATCCCTCTGGACAGTGAAAAGGAAAAAGACGTTCAAGGGCAGGAAACAGGAACAAGACGAGGAAGGAGAGAGTGAATCTTCCCCTGACTTCCAGGAGCAGCAAAACGGCAAGGCGTAGGAGAAGGAATATTGAAGGTTACGTTAAATGAAAGCTGAAACGCATTTTTAATACTGAAATGTATTTACCGTTTACTCAATGTTTCAAAGAAGGTTACAGAATGATGCATAATTATTAAAAATATGAATAAATTTTCAGTCAAATAACATACTCGGGGACAGATGAAAATCGAGAGACTGATGGGCCAATCGGTCCTGATTGTCGATCTGCTCCAATTCCTTATCAATCTCGTCAAGCTCCTGCTGATGCTGTGCTGACATATCTTGAATGCGGTATACTTCTTCTTCTTGCATGAGTTCATCTTCTTCCTCGCGCTCACGATTTTCCAGAGCTGCAGTCATCTCTGCTAATTCGGCCTCAATGTCCTCAATGCTCTTTCGAGGCTCTTGGCATTCTGGAACAAGAAAAAAAATCAAGTTCAATTGATAAACACAAAACTCCGAACAAATTAATGTGAATATATCTCAAATATTTACCTTCAGGGCTTGGAGATATCTCATTTGACGGTCTAGGGTGGGCAGCATCCCCTTGATGATCGAGCACAAAATCGATTATTGATGGAGTCTTTGTAGTCATTCGGATTGCTTCAAAAGGGTCCAACGTTTCCCAAATGCGATTAGCAGTTTCTGGACTTGCTGGGATGATCTGTATTGGCTGTATCATTTCTGGAGTCTGAGAAATAGTATCAATGGTCTCCGGGGTCTCTGAGATGATTTCCATCGATGATTGTGACTCTGACACGATCTCAGGGCTCTTGGGGATGATTTCCATCGATGATTGTGACTGTGACACGACTTCAGGGCTCTCGGGGATGATTTCTGTCGATGGTCTTCAGAGAGATTTTTTTCAAACTCACGAGCCCTGAATTGCCTCTGTTTTTCCTTGGCCAATTGCCTCCTTCTTTCCCGAGCGTTGAATTCGGCCTTCTTCTTTTCAGCGATTTTTAAGCGATTGTCATGAGCACGTGCTTTTTCCTGCTTGTTTTTATCAGTATCCTTTATTTTTTCTTTCTGCTGTTGCTGTTTTTCCACCACATTTTTATTTTCAAGGGGCTGTAATGTACGGTAGAAAGGTCGAGTAATATAGACTCAATCTCAGCAGTTTAAGATACTTTAGTTTATTTATTCCTAACTAAAGAGTAACGGTTGACTTCGATACAAAAAAGTGAGTTCAAATGATTAATTCGGTAATGAACTTCGTCGATAATCTTGACAGTGAACTAATGAACTAAAAATGAACTCCTAAGTGCAGTGTGTTCTCAGTTTTATTGGAAACCGTGGCACACTTACTTCGATTCGTATTACAAAACGGATTCGTGTTATAATACGATGCTGACACCTAATTTCTTCATAACTGCATTATTTCAATAATGTTTGTTACAATATCTGGGACACAAAATCCCTCCCGGCCAGAGAAGAAATTTCATATTTTTTTAATTATTTCGACATTGGCTGCACACTAACATTCAATACAATAATATACAATAATATATGCATTTTACTAGGGGAAATCCCAAATCCAATACAAGTCCAAGACAAGATATTTTTCTACCGCCAACACTGAGCCGACATTGGTACCAAGGTAGTCAAGGTCACTTCTATCAAGTCGGCGAGACCTTTCTCAACATATGGCCTCGAAATCCAAAAACTCCTAGATCAAGCCTTCACCTATTATTTTTGATTTTTCTTTCCTACGGTCTCAATGTCAAGTGTTTCGTAACACATGAATCAGGAATTTTTGCGGGGTCAACGTACATGTGTACCTCGCATGGGCTGTATGGCCGTATCGCTTGCGTGGACAAGATTTCCGTGCAGACATACTGTCCGTTAAGCCTCTTACAATTTTCCAATTGTTGTAACATTATTGGAATGAACTGCTGTGTCGGCCCGTGGATGACCAACAATTCGTTCTCCGGTTCAATGTACGAGTAATAACCTTGTACTGTTTGCAGCGGCAGACCATGTGGTTTGTAGACGCTGTAAATTTGGGAATTTACTAGCGGTATCTCCACCAACGTCACGATTTTTATGTCAAACGTATGTATGCTGACGGTAGAAATTCTTTCCAGTGAATGCATGTTGCCGATCCGTATTTCGGTGGGAAAGCTAAAGCCCGTTGGTAATTTGGCTTTCTTTAGGATCTCCACGAGATGTTCTTCCGAGAGGACTCCTGTCCCCAGGATTCTTCCTTCGTCTTCTGTTAGAAGACGCAATATTCTCTTAGCGTCNCCTCTTAGCGTCCCTCACCCCTCCGTCGAGAATTGCCGAAATGACCCTGAAATATTCATCCATGTCGTCGCGAACGAGAGTTGTGTTGAATTTATACTCCATGCGTTCTGACAACGGTTTCGTTGCATTCAGAAGAATTTCTTCATTCCGTTGAACAGTCTCTTCTGCGTGCTGGAGTTGGAAGAGTGTCGAATTGATGACTTCAATTTGATTTTTGGTTGCATCATATGCATTTCCTTGCTGTCCTTCGAGTCGATTTAGGCGCTTGTGGATTTCTTTCGCAATCTGAGGCATCCATTGTGCCAAATAGCGATTTAGCCACGGACCCCAATCCGTCAATTAAGCTTCGACGACCTCTCTCAGGTTGACCAACTCCAAGAATTCCCTGGATTGTTTTCCTAATTGCTGTATGGTCACTGATCCGTTCTTGTAGAATCATGCGGAAATTGTCGCCTGATTTTCCAGCTTTAGTGAACAAGAGCTGTGTCAGCTCATAATGGTTTTCCAGCTGATCTGCTCTTTGTAGCCAGGGCTTCACATCTGTTGTCGCTGCCACGGTCCATACGTGATTGCTCAAAAACAATCTACCAATGGATTCAAAATGTAGACCTGGAGTGTGGACAAATTTATCAACAGTATGTCCCTCCCCCTTCGTGAGTGGGATCATGCTTCCTAGCATGATTATCACTAGTAAAGTTTTCAGGAATCTGTAATTTCCTGTTTTTTTCTCTAATTGAGCCGTCTGCATTCCCTCAAACCACTTGGATGGATCTAGTTGTTCATCGTCAGATACGTACGTGATCAAACCGATTAATGTTCTCAATCGGTTGACGTGCACTCTCACCTCCTTGTTTTTCTTGCCGGAACGGATAGTGTAGTTGACATCTGAATTTTTCTACGTAATTTCATAGGGTCCAAGCTATGGCGGCGTCAGTTTTTTGGACCTTCCACGTCGCACAACCTCATATTTTAACAAAACTTTGTCGCCGACGCAGAAATTTCTTTTCTCCGCATTCTTGTCGTACTGCTTCTTCGCTGTCTCCTTCGAGGCATTCAATTTTTCCCTCGCAACCTGGTGAGATGCGCGAAGTCTCTCACGTAATTCTTGTGCGTAGTCATTATATAAATAAGTGGGTCGCGGCGTTTGTTTCACTGAGGTTGGCAAATCGCCACATCTCCCGTAAAGTAACTCAAACGGTGTTCGTTTCGTGGCGGTATGCATTATATGAAAACGCCGCATAGGGTAGCCATCGATCCCAATCTGCTAGATCTTCATCTATGAAACTGCGTAAATACTCTGCCAGTGTGCGATGAGACCTCTCAAGAGCACCATTTCTTTGGGGATGATAAGCCGTTGTTTGGATCTTCTTTATTTTAAGAAGACGGCAGACATCTTTAAAAATTTCGCTTGTGAAATTTTTGCCCTGATCTGTCAGCAATTTTAATGGCGTTTCATGCTCGCCAATAATTTTCTCAGCGAATGCTTTTGCCACGGTATTCGCCTCTTGATCGGAAATTGGAATCAAAGCATCCTGGAATGTTAGTATATGTTTATTCCCATCATCAGTTATTAGTAATGGACCAACGATGTCCATTGCGCATTGCTCAAATGCCGTCTCTGGAGCTTCTCCAATCTGCATAGGTACTTTTGTTGTTTTCCCCAATTTATTCAACTGACATTTCTGACAGTTTGCAACATACTTCTCGATGTCATCCTTCATTCCTTTCCATTTATATTTCAGCTCGATTTTCTCATGCATTTGTTGTCCGCCAGGATGTCCCCCAAAAGGTGTATGATGATATTCTCTCAAAATCGTGGGGATATCCTCGGATTCTGGGGTGATTCTCTCATCAGTTATTTCCAAATTATCTTTCCCAATATCATCACCTTCGGCATCCACCCTTTTCTGCTGCGCTCGGGTTACAATACTGATTCGACTTAAAGCGTGAGCATTTGTGTTCAACTTCCCAGGCTTGTGTACGACTTCATAATCGTACTCCTCCAATTTAATTCTCCAGTGCATCAGACGTGACCCCGGATCTCTAACGTTGAAAATCCATCGCAGAGGTCGATGATCCGTCACGATGATAAATCTTCGGCCATACAAATAGGGTCTGAAATGTTTCACAGCCCAAACGATAGCAAGAAGTTCTTTCTCTGTCATGGAATAATTAATTTCAGCTTTATTCAGCATTCTGCTCGCGTAAACGATTGGCAAATCGCTCCCAATATCTCTCCGTGACAAAACAGCGCCTAATGCCTTGTTCGAAGCATCCGTTGTCAACAAAAATGGTTTCTTGAAATCTGGATACTGCAATATTGGTGCTGTAATGAGCTTTTCCTTCAAGCTCTCGAATGTGACGCCTTCTCTCTCTCCCCATACCCACGTTACGCCTTTTTTCAATAGATCCGTGAGAGGTTTGGCGATCTTCAAAAAATCTCGAACAAATTTTCTGTAGTAACCCGCCAGTCCCAGGAAAGACATCACTTCTTTCGTCGTCCGAGGTACCGGAAAATTCTTTACTGCTTCTATTTTTGTGGGATCAGCCTTGACTCCCGCCTCCGTAATTATATGTCCCAGGTAAACGACTTCTTTCCTCAAAAAGTTACATTTGTCGGGCTGTAATCTTAAGTTAGCTTTCCCCAATCGCTCTAAAACCTCCCGTAGACGGTCATTATGCTTTTCCAGACTTGCTCCAAAAATCACGATATCGTCGAGGTTGACAAAGCACCTGATNTATGTCCCAGGTAAACTCACTCCTCAACTTCTTTCCTCAAAAAGTTACATTTGTCGGGCTGTAATCTTAAGTTAGCTTTCCCCAATCGCTCTAAAACCTCCCGTAGACGGTCATTATGCTTTTCCAGACTTGCTCCAAAAATCACGATATCGTCGAGGTTGACAAAGCACCTGATCTCTTGAATCCCCGCCAAGACTGAATTCATCAGTCTCTGGAATGTTGCTGGACCGCCTTTTACAGCGAAGGGCAGTCGGTTGAACTCATAATGCCCAAATGGCGTTGAAAAAGCTATCTTGCACTTGTCCTCCTCCTTTAATGGAATCTGATGGAACCCTGAGGCCAGATCCAGTGTGGTGAAATACTTTGCGTTCCCCAATTGATCCAGTATATCGCAGATAGTCGGTAGCGAGAATGAGTTGCCAATTATTACGTCATTCAATTTACGAAAGTCAACGACTACTCGCAACTTGACCTTGCCTGACTCTTTCCGCTTCTTGGGAACAACGAGTAACGGCGCGTTCCACTGGCTGTTACTTGGACGAACTACCCCATTTTTCAGCATCTCCTTTACTTGACGGTCGACCTCCTCCTTCTGGGACTGTGGCAACCGATGTGGTCGCACATTGACATGTTTG